TTTTATTTGTTTCAATTTGAGGTAAAAGAAAAATCTAAGTTAAGGCATTAGTGAGAATGTTTTCCCTGCAGGGATTGCAAGTTGTCCTTTTAAATCTGTGGCATTTTTACAGCAGACTCTTGCATAACTTTGTAGCATCGTCAGGAAAACAAGTACATGTTTTAGGGGTTGAGGGTGGTCCAGGATACATGAGACATTTGAAACGTAACACAACATAGTTTCAAGCTATGGATCTAAGTTTAGCCAGGAGCCTATATAGGCTCATGGTTCGTATTTACAGCTTTAGTATCTGTACACCCCCGGGCTCTTAGGTTTCCCTCCCTGGCTTATGATGAAATGTTAAGACATATAGGACATTTCATTTTCAGCAGGGTAACCAAAACAATAACAGTACATGTCATGTTTTGGTGACAGACATTAAATATTGAAATTGGTACCTATGTTCAATATTCAGACAATAAATCATTGACATGAACTTCTTTAAAATAAATGCAGATAAACCATGCTTTTGCAATATTTTTATTGTATCATTCAAGCAGGTGACCACAGGTCCTGTGTTTTTTGTTTCTGTCAGCCATTGGCAAGAGATAATGGTGTCTGTCATCCATCAGTCCAGTCTGAGCATAAATAATTGCGCTACAGAGCCTCTGTCATTGCTACTGTAACACAGCCACCAGACATGCTGTAAGTAAAATTTCGGGTAAATGGCCTGTTGAAGTAGTTCCAATATTTAGATTACCACCTTATAGCTTAGTGAGCTGTCATTTGCTCATAAATCCAATGGAACAGACAGATAGTGAGTTCCTCTCACTTAACAGGATGTTATGGTCGCTTCTATCTCATCTTTCCATCACATCAGATGTGAATAAACAGTGTCCTGATGGGGAGGCGTGCTGAGTGACAGGACACTGACTTGCACAGATGGTTGTTCCTGTGTAATTGGGAGTATGTGCGCCCACTGCTCTCCTCCTTTTGAAAGCCGGGCTGACAGGGTGCTAACACGACTGTCCATGTGTCCCGCTCTCCGCTGTCATTGATATTGAAGTGCTCGGGGGGGGGGAACAGCTCCAGTTACAGAATCACATGGTGTTTCTTTCCGAGCTCTTTGTGTCTTTTGACATTACAGTCAGTGATGCAAGGCGTTGTCATGCGCTCTGTGCAGCTTTGCATTTTCTATTTCCATAATGTGTACAGGCCCTCAGGTTGAACAACACGTGTTAGTGCTTGTTGTCTCTATACTCGAAGCTGCACAAGCTGTTGCGTGGGTCTGAGCTACATTGATTTAGTAATTGAATCTGTTTGAATGTCCAGTGTGTGAAGAGGACTGTATTTATCTCTGGCACCTATAAGTTTAACTCAATCTATGAATCATGAGCAAGAAACTTAAGAGGAAAGGAAGCATGTTTTAGACAAATGTTTTCAGTTGAGCTTTGCACTACACTTGAGTAATTCTTCACTCCGTTTCAACCCCTGCTGATAAAGAAACCAACGGAGAACATGCCGTTTCTCTCTCCTGTATACCTATCTTTGTCTGTCCTGATTTCTTATCATTCTCTCACCATGTGTCTGTGTTATTTCACTTGATGGTTGTTATCAATTCTTCTTTATTTTCACATTTTCTGTAATCCATTATTCAGTCTCTAGTACTGTAGACCTCTGACATTTATATTTTAGAATTTTTTTTTTTTTCAAGGATTATTACCGTGAATACAAGAGCAGTCCTCGTGTTTTTATGCTCCAGGCTCAGTTTGCCTTGAGCAAACTGCATGTAAAAAGCAGCTTTATTTTGGTGCAGTTCTGTAGCATACCTAGAAGAAGGCTGTGGGAAACAGGCACTAAGTATGCAACATATAGATAGACTGAAATCAAACTAAAATTAGGCTTAAGTGATGCTCTGCTTAAAGAGTCACCGCAATACCATAATAGAACAAAGGAGAGAAGCAAGGATGAATGAAAAGACTGATTCAGTGAAAGAAGTTTGTCTTGAGTGATTTAGAAAAATACTGAGATAACAAGAGTAATATTTTTTGAAACTGCTTATGTAACCATTATTATATTATCCTTCACTCTCCTTTACTCGCAGTGCTTTTATTAACTATGCCCAAGTTCTTGTCTGTGCATCTATATCTTCATCTGTTTTATAACCTCAACATGATGTTGAAATGAGGACTAAGTGACTGATATATTTTCCTCTTCCTGTGTTTCAGGTACCCCAGTCAACATGTGTTTTGTTCAGAGCAGAGCTTGTCTGGCCCAGGTCAGTCTGCCAGGGACAATAACCCTGATGGCCACAAGCAGGAGCAGGACTCCAGGGAACACAAGGTTTGTGAAAAACAGCTTTAACACACTTAATGTTTTAGAAATTACTGTCAAATAAGAATCCAATTTCTTAATGTCGAACCATTTTAACCACTGCAGCTCGAAACCATCTTCTAATTAAGAACAATAGAAGAACAATAGAACTATCTTTGGAGTGGTTAGAATTGCTGGTTCATCTTTTTGGCCAGCTGTTCAATGTTGTGCAGTATTATTAGACTCACTGCTCACCATGAAATGTACGAGTTAGCAGAGCACCCAGAGAGTGGAGTGATTCGGGTCATGCACTTAAATGACCCACTAACCCCTGGTGACAAGTAGGAGCCATGGCTGGAGGAGGGGCAGTTATAGAGACTTGTGGCCTGATCTACTAAGATCCCAAATAAAGAGTGCTAAATTGTGTGTGCATTAAAACAAATAGCATGTTTGGTTGGTGGGCATTTTGCGGGCGATCTACTAAAAATAATTGTGCAAATAACAGTTGCAAACATGGTAGAGGAATTAGTATTTAAATTTGTCTTTTGAATGCTTCACTGGAGCATTACGGAGAGCAGAGTGACTGCGAAATTATTGCCATGTAATAGGAGGTGTTAGTGGAAGAGGCAAACAAACATAAGAAAAGAAAAAAAATATTAATATCTCAAAGTGGGAGTGTATCTGTGAGAAAATAGATGCTGTTGGTAAAACAAAAAAAAACAATTAAATTAAGAGAAGATGGCAGGACATAAGAAGAAGCACAAAAGAAGGTGGGGGACCAGTGGAAGAGATGCCTCTGACCAATGTCGCGCAGGAGATGAGAGCTGTGTCCTCTGTGGCACGAGTGCTCAGGCGCGACACTCGGGCCATTGTAGCCACACAGACAGCTGGTGTGACAATGGCCATCAGGTCCCTGGCAATAGAGGGATTATTTTTGATTCTGTCAATCCAAACATGAGCCAAAAAACCCTGTTCTCTCCTTCTCTTATATGCCGTCTCCTCCTCACCACAATACCTGCAGCCATCTGTGCACAACACAGCCGATTAGCACCTACCTTTCAAACATACAAAATAGATGCAGTCACAACCACCGCTATTATTTTCAGGCTTTGTAAATCACATTGCGTGTGCTAAATTAAAGTATTTGCAACTACTACTCACAATATTTTGCTTACTCGGGTAGAAACCCCAGATTTTGCATATTCATTAAGGCAAACGTACTAAATGGAGAGCGTGTGTTATTCTGACCGCAGTCCTCAGTACGCACCGTTAGTAGAACAGCTTGCTTTTTTTGTTTTTTTGTTAGTTTGCACACAACCTTTAGTAGATCAGGCCCTTGGAGTGAATGATTCATGATTATGGAGGCCACTCTGTGAGAAGAGGGGCCAAGGGTATTGCATAATTCCACCTAGATAGGTGAACATTTATCAATTGCCTCACCTTATCTCTTCACTTTTCAACTGATAACTTTTGTGTAATATTAACGTATGGATAGAACTGGGTCAGGAACACTCACTTTTTTTATTATTTCCACTGAGGTGGGGTATGCGACTTCCATGCATTTCCACCAAAAAAAGTCAGATACGACTCCACAAAATTGTTGGTCCAAAAGAAACCGCTGGCATCGGTGGCTATATGACAGGGGCCACTAAAGAAAAGTATGAACAAGATGCCATCCTATCCAAGACTTTAAAAGTAATTTTATAAAAATAGCAAGCACAGACATTGTGTTCTGTCAGCCAGGAAATATTTTCAATGGAAATTACACCAACTTCCATGATGTACCGTCCTTAGTCTTCTTTTGAGGTTTACTGGTGGTTGGCATACATTGTCTTTCCACATTGTGAACGGAGTGGACTACATTTGGCTGTCAAACCTGTCGAAATGAGGGTGGGCTTGAAAAAGGAGTTCAGTAAATGAAGATAAGAGCCACTTCCAGTTAGATGGTTACTTAGAAAGCAGCCTAGTTACTGTACATGTTGTCAGGAACACTGGTCTAATAAATCATAGAAACGGAGGTGATACAGCCCTGTGGGGTTAGAGTTCAGTCACAGCTCTTCCAATTCTCAGCCTTAGTGGATGAATCATGCTGGAGACTTATGTCATGTTCACACTACATGACTTTCAAAGATTACTGTACCGATTATACAAAAAATACAATCTATTTTTGTCACAGAATCATGCACAAAATCAAGGAAGAAAAGGGATATCAGAAGGTAGAAGGTTGAGAGAATGGCATGGATTAAGTTTCCGGAAGACAAGAAATGTCCGCAAACCAGTTTTTCCTCCCACAAACTTGTAATTTCCTCACAGGTAACTTTTTAGGTACAGGGCTACTTTTTGGCAGCATAAGCTGGTGTGCAGACGTTTCTTGTCCTCAGGTCAAGTGGGTATATTGGATGTGCGTGCTTTCATATACTTTCTGAAGGATTCCATTTCCCCAGGTTCCCCATAACCCTGTGTCTTGTGCTCTCATTGGCTAATAGCTTGTCGACGCACTCATTGCCTGTCACAACATTTACACAGGTTTTTTAGCTATGTAGTCTGCTAGCTATGCTTCACGCTTCTGTGATGTATAAGTAAGTGTCACATCAACTTTTCAAAGTTTACAAATAGTGATTTCTAGATTTCTGGACACCGTAGATGAGTGTAAAATCAGGGCTAAAATCATGGAGTCCTAACCCTCCCTTATCCATCTTAAGTCTGCCAGTGGATGTCATTCCCTCCATTTAGAGTGGAGCTGCAGTTTGCCTGTGGCATGCTGACATTTGCTCACAGGAAGGTTCCTCTGCTTTGCTGAATTCATCCTCAGAGTTGTGTGTGTGTGTGTGTGAGAATCAGTGAGTGTGTTTTTATGTGTGCAATAGGGTCAGAATGAATAATAATTTAGGGAAGTGTGTGTTGTTTTAGTTTGGCTGTGTGGGGACAGAAAAAGGGGAATCATTGTCTGTGGTCCCTCAACAAACAGCCATGTCAGGGCAGTTGAACAGGCCTGGCAGTCTGTCACCGGCCTTATAACGCTGGCTTTGTCTGTCAACAAAAGGCTTTTTCAAAGCCTGAGATGCAATGACCTTTTACAATCAGAAAATTTCAGACACAAAAATGTACATTTGTTAAAATAAACACAATCCATTTATAATGTATTACTGACATATTGAATTGTTGTGGTGCAATGGTGCTTCAGACAAATAGAAGTCCATATTGAAGACTGTGGAGGATTTTATGTATATTTATTTTAATTTCCCTAGGTGGCAGAAGAATGGACGACACACACATCATATGATATGGGACTAGAGACGGAGAGAGCAGCACTAGAGAAGCCCACAACACAAAACAACAAACAACATGAACGGGTAACACAATATGTATGTTCATTATTATAATTATTATAAATTATAATGACAGGAGTAAAATATATAAAGGACCGTGAAAGGTTGTTTTGATAAAGGAAACAGTCAAAGAAGTGAAAGTGAATCCCAAACTAGGAGTCAGGACCTCCCGGGCGGTCACAAGATGTTTTCCAGAAATCGAAACAAAATGATCAATTATTATTCCTAATGATTAAAAAAAGTTGGGTCATCATCCTCTGTTGTCTTTGTATGTATATAAGATTTACCATAGCATCAGTCGATGGGTGATGTTTTATATGCTAACATTTTTCTGTTTTTTGTCTTCAGACTGTGAATCCTCAGGAAGCTGAGGTGGAGGAGGCAAAGCCAGACCTAGAGTCTGACACTGTACCTGTTGTTCCTGAGCCAGACCCCCAGAGTGATTTGATCCTGAAAACTGATGCCCAAGACCATGACCAGGAGACCTCATTGTCCTCCACTCCAGAACCTGTTCCAGCACAGGGCCAAGTTTCCACAGACATCCCAGCCCAGGCTGAAATCCACAGTGACTCTCCTGCTGCTCCCCCCAGTCTGGACTCGAACCCAGTCACACTCCCAGATGAAGCTGAAAACACACCTACCTCAGAGAGTGCCGGCCCAGCCGACACAGGGTAAGCTCACATTCACTTCCTCACTGCAGGGACCTGGTCTCTGACATTAGAAGTTGGCTATAACCACAGAACAGTCACACTGCTGAAGTGGAATTGAAATCATAGGAAAAAAATCTGTTCCTCTTACGATGGTTAAAGCCAATTTCAAAACCAATTCATTTGTTAAATACATCATTATTCTCTTTCATATTTTTGTTTGGTAACTTTTGTTACTTTCATTTTTTGTTTTATTTCAATTATGTTTTGAGTGGTAACAAACTGAAAGAAAAAAAAATGGCGAGTTGGTTATTTACTTCTCATGGAACTTGTGGCCAGCGCTGTGAACTTACATGGAACTGCTCATACATTTCTTTCCAATGGACTTTACAATTCAAGTTTGTGGTATTGTAAAGAAAACAGTATAAACATGGAACTATGTCCAAGATGGAGGGGAGCCCCATCAGACCTGTGATGGAGTGGCCACCTTTCCAGGCTGTTTTGACTCTCGCTGAATCGCTGCTGGGATTGGCTCCAGCTGCCAGGCTACCCTCAAATGATAAGCAGCATAGATGATGGATGGATGGATGGATGGATACTTAGGAAGCGAAAATGTCCCATTCCATGGTGACATCTGTATTCCTTTCTCCAACTGACTGTCAACATCAGGACATTTGAAGACTTACACAACACCTGCCCCGCCTGAGAGCGACCTCTCCATCCCTTTTGTCCATCTTTCTCTTTCTTTTGCCCCCTCTGTCTCCTGCTCTGTTTTTTTTTTTTTTTTTTATCGCACCTCCTTGTCCCCTTCTTTTCCTCTCTCCAACCCCACCTTCCTCTCTCTACCTTCTCCCAGTGTAAGGAGGTGTGGTAAACGCCATGTCCTTTCTTTCCCTCAGTGCAGCGCGGGCTGCCAATGCAGGAGATGAACTCCCAGTAGACATCTTTGTCTTTGCTGAGCACTCAGATTCACAGTGCGGGGTCATCCCCCCCGAACTGGCAACCTGTGAAAACTCCCCTTTTGGCATCCCTCTCTTCAGGTGAGTATCTAAAGTCCAGAAGCCAGTCAAAGCACAGAGACAGGTAATCAAGGTACAAGTTGCACCTCTCTGCTGTGCGCAACCGTCGACCGCTGGCCTTGCTCTCCACTTACTTCTATTTTTTTTTTTTTTTTTTTTTTTTTTTTTTTTTTTTTCATTTCCATTTTCCATCGTTTTGCCTGCACACAACAAGGACTGTCCATACTGTCAAATAAACTTTCTTTTTTGTAGGCACCATGCGTCCAACATTGCAGTCCGCTTATTTGTCTTCTTCTCCATCCTTATTCCTCCCCTCTCCACTATCTCACTTCCCTCCAATTCGTTCTCTCTCTCCACCTCATTGCCCCCATGTCTGTACTGTAGAGCGGACGAGGCTGTCATAGAACACCAGCAGTCAGACCAGGGATTCGGTTCTGGTCCAAAAGCAGAGGTCCAGTCTACACCAGGCCTTGTGGATCAGGAACAACAGCAGAGGCAGGAGCTGGAGGATGGGCTGTTGGATTTGGACCAGGAGGGCAACAATTCCCAGCATCTGAAAGAACAGCAGGTCAGCAGCTTGTTTCCCAAATATATAAGAAGTGTTTTGAAGTGAATCTAAAGCTTGTAATAAAAACCAACTATAAGAAATATAAATGAAGCATTAAGCTTTCTTTATAATATGGAGCACTTAATAATTGCAGGCCCTCCAAGGGCAGTTTTGAGCTGATTGTATTTATTTCATCTGAAATGGGCAGAGACATTACAGTGCTGCAGGTGTCATGTTGAAAAATGTGACTCATAGAACTTAATCCACATAAACCTTGGACAGAGGTGGTCTTTTTATTTAACACAGCACGGTCAACATACATGGCTCAGGTGACATATTGGGGAGTTTTGACACCTACCTTGTCTGGTCCAAACTTTTCAAATTTCAAACCAACGTAGACGTTTTTGTTAGTAACACCATAGGGATATTACGGTGGCAACGAAATTAAGTGAACAAAGCCGTTCATTTTCTAAATACAAATGGAAAGAATTTTTTTTCCCTATGCACTTTTTTCATAAAAGTTAGCAAATACAATAGTTGAACTGACAACACATAGATGCAGATACATGGATGATGATAAAAGGACTACGTATGTCATACAAAAGTCTTCCATAAATTGCAATGTAAAACCAAAACTAACTGGATCAAATGTAAACAAGGTAACTGACACAAACCTTGGTTAAGAACATGGTCCAGTCTATAACTGCGTTTATCTGTCCACATTTTTTTGCCCGGTAAAATGTTGCATATAGTCATGGCCAGGTTGCCATGAAAAATCATAAATATTCAGTGTGTGCACAGCTGCTTCAGCAAAGGGCAGCTTTGAATCTTTCAATTGGGAAACACTGAGTCAGCCTCTTTGTGTTTTTTTTTTTCCAAGGATGAAGCATAATTAAAGATGATTGTTTCCAGGGGGCTGTACCCAACCTTGGGGGGGGGGTTGTGTCCATTTCTCATTTCCGCATTATTTTGCTGTTGTTGCACTAAGATCTATTGACTAATCTGCATAGTGGCTGGCAGTAACTGTTGAGATGTTTACATAAGAGGTCGTCTGAGTCGTGGGATTTTAAGGCTCAGACACTCTTGTTAGGTCCAAAAGGGCGCTTATATAATGCATCAAAATATTATTCACAGCTCAATGCTTTAGTGGCCACAGGCTAGCTGACTACTACCAACTCCTGGTTCTAGCATGCAAGTCACACATCAGCATCCATATAATCTTGTTAGGCACTTGTTCGATTATAACAAATTAAGTATATCATTCAAAGTTTATCTTGTATACTGCAGAGAATAACTCATAATTAGGTAATTATGACTATGAAAAAGAAATTAAATTGGAATTTTACGTAGTTAACCTTGTTGATATGACGTAGATAAATTTCCTCTGCGTGGGATGTTACTGAGATTAGGATACTAATGGTTGGTTTGTAGTTCCTCTGTCATTCTGCACCTGTGTGAGTGTTACACCAGTCTGTGTTTTCCAGGCAGGGGATGCCAGAGTTGCCAGAGAGACTGATCCCTCCGTGCCCAGCAAAGAAGATATCCCCACCTTTGACGAGTGGAAGAAACAAGTCATGGAGGTGGAGAAGGAGAAAAGTAAGTGAAGTTGTCATTAAAATGCCGGTACATATGCATGAATGGAAGAAAGGCACAGCATCAAAAAATGAATATAATGCCCCAGTAATTACCTCCACCAAGGAAGGTATGTTTCATCTATGTGTGCTTGTTTGTTTATTTAGCAGGATGACATAAATATTTCTAGGAGTGGGACATGACCCAAGGAAAATCCCATAAAATGCAGATCAAAATTAGGGGGTGGATGGATCATTATTTCTTTAACGTTGTGTGTAATGATGCTGTGCATTTTCGATTATTTCTCAGAGAATAAAAATCTGGATCTATTGAATTGAAATGTGGTTTTATAAGGGGACCGTTGGGCCTTGGTGGAGGAATGAACTACTGAGCACCCTTCCAGTTCTATTTTACACACATTATTCCACAATTTTGCAGCAGAGTCTCTCAAAGCTGTGTAACTCAAATATTATTATGACTTGGTGATGCAGACACAGATTGTATCATTGCTTTTGTAGGCAAAGGTGTCCTTTTATAAGCTACAACTCATCTTGTTGTTTGTGTCCTTCATGCTGTCAGTTTTTTGAACATTGTCTACCTCTGTCTCATTTGCTTCCTTCCTCATGTTCTATTCATGTCCCTCTCTCTCACCATCTCCCTCTCTTCTCTTTTTTCCCTGTGCACGCATTGGTCAGCAGAGCGTGTGTTTATCTGTGTTGCATAACCTCTCAACTCATTCCTCTCAGGCAATGTTCTTTTTCTAGTCTCTCTAATGTAACACTCCCCTCTACTCAGGTCAGTCTCTCCATACCTCAGCCAGTGGCAGCCCCCATCCAGTGAAGAAGGTCCAGAAGAACTTTAAGAATAACTACGCATCTGTGGAGTGTGGTGCCAAGATACTGTCTGCCAACAATGAGGCCAAGGTTAAACACTTGTCACTTCTGTCGCCTACACATAGACACACACATCCTCACACAGCAAAGGATACAGAGGTCATTCTGTCACGTTGTGTCAGCAGGTGGATGAGACAACTTTTACATTTAAGTTAAACATTTAGTTTATTTGGTGATGTTAACTTAAATAGCTGTTGAATAAATAACTAAATAAATAAGTGATTGTGGGAGCTTATTCACTCACTCATTCATTTTGCTTCTGTTTTCTATTCAGAGCACGTCAGCAATTCTCATGGAAAATATGGACCTTTACATGCTGAATCCTTGCAGCAACAAAATCTGGTGAGTACAATAAAACACCCCTAGTATACAGTTCATATATAACATAGCTTTATTTCAGTATACCTTTTAATTAACCTTGTGTTTTATCCTCTTTGCAGGTTTGTAATAGAGCTCTGTGAGCCTATTCAAGTCAAGCAGCTGGATATCGCTAACTTCGAACTCTTCTCATCAACACCAAAAGATTTTCTGGTGTCCATCAGTGACAGGTATACTCCCTTACTTTTTTTTACATGTGCACAATATCCCTTATACACTGGCAGTACATTTCAAACAAGTCTGAAACTGGCATGTTCTCATAGATACTGTGGTTGGTTTTGCAACAAATAAAAAGCCCCGTATCACACTCTGTGACCCCATTCAGACCTAGTATCTGTCCTAAGTGGTCCAATCACATGTGGTCAGCAATAAGTTCAAGCCTGAACTCACTAAAACATGATGTACCTGCCTTCTTGTCCTCTGACCTGCTACACTTTCATAATGAATCAAACACATTTCTATGCTTCTCAGTGACCATATGTTGAATTGTTAATGGCTCCAATATGAACACTGACGACCACATAATGATTGATACGCCTCTTAAATTGTTCAAATCTTTATTGACTGAATAGCTGCACAAGATTCATTCAGCCCCTCCTGATTCCTCTCTCTGTACCACTCTCTCTGTCACTGCCTTGCTCATGCTGACACACACATGTCACACACACAAACACAGTGACAATGGACACATTTGTAAACTCAGGCTGGGTAAAAAAAAAAAACATAATTTGGTATCTTTTGTATTATAGAGTGGAGAAGTGAGATCTGATCTCAATTGGTCACAGAAGACACATTCAGTACATATTTTATTGCCAGGTGTTGTGATCAGATCTCTCAGGCCAGATGTTAATACCAGTCCTGAACGTGGTCTTTGTGTGACAATATGCTAATTTGTCACAGTGTCATTCCAACTGCACCATTGTTGATGAATACACATGGTTCATTAGCTAGCAGTAAAATAAAAGGCAACTGGATATTATCAGGGAGTATGGATAGAAGAAACTTAGATTGGCCTTCATCATAGCAGAAATTGAATTGACTCTGCGTTTTCTAACACGGATGTAGTCAAAATTAAAACATCTATATGAAATGTGAAATTCACCAACATTTAGCCTTTGATGTACAGTTTATTGCCACCAAGTTAATTATTTAATGTTGTCTAGTTGCTATTTGGATGGGGAAAAAAACTTGAAAGGAGTCAGACATTTTGGGACATCACCCCCTCAAACAGCAGCATCACTAGTAAAAGGTCTTTTTTTTCTCCCGGATCATCTGCTCAAGCTTTGGTACACAGATATTTTCAGCATCCTCTCGCACCACAACTCATTAACTGTTTGTCATGGAAGCACAACCCTCTAGTTATAAATTTGCATCCAGACTATGATAACATGCTAGATTTCCCTGCAGTGCTGCCCTCAGACACACACGTCTTACTTTTTCATTTGCTCCATTTGCAGATATCCTACCAACAAGTGGGTAAAGCTCGGTACTTTCCACGCGCGTGATGAGCGCATCGTCCAGAGCTTCCCACTGGATGAGCAGCTTTATGCTAAATATGTGAAGGTACAACCTTTTCTTCGCACATCTACATCAGAAAATGTATGTCTGAAGGAGAGGGAATGATTAGCAATGAATTAGTTTCTTCCCATGTAGTTTAGTAGATAAATATCAACACAGATGCAGTCATACACATGGCTTAAAGCTCAGGGGATCTTCTTATGACTTCATGGTAAATTAGCCATGCTTTCATTGCTGCTGGTCACCCCCTCCATCAGCTGGATGAAGAAATGTGCGAATGACTGTCACAGTGTCTGCTCATGAGTTGTACTTGCAAGAACTTGTAAGGGTGGATACACTTAAAGATACAACATATCACAATTCTTCTTTTTAATGTCTTAACCTATGTTATATTTTTTGTCGACCTGTGTACTTGCATTATTCAAACTGTTTCCAACAATGTTCAAACCCAGAGAAATTCCTGGTTTAATTCATGGTAGATGGGCATTTTATTTTGGTCACCTTTTAATTGTCTCTGCTTTACCAGAGGCTTTGCCTGTCTCTGCTGGTACTTTTGGGGCAAATGGCAAAGGAAAAACTTACTGCGAGCCAGTTGGCTGTCTTTTCCTTCCACTGTTTTATTGGTCACTTGTACTACAGGACCATCATCCATGAACACGATTTGCTGCGGACAATGGTGGTGAAGAAAACAACTCCCATGATCCTACACTGCTTCATGATCTTGTGAACCAAAAGGATTGCAATTGTTTGTCCTGCAATTTAAACTTTGGATTTTTGAGCAATCACTTTAAACTCAGGACCATGTCATTTTAAAACCCAGTTCATCCAGGTTTCAGTTGATACTCATCTCTAATTAAGTTGCTCAGCCACCTACTCTTGACTGCAGGGTTAACAATTATTACTGTCCACAGCTCTTCATCCGAAATTAATCAAATTTCATTTTATATTGCAGCATAAATAAATAAGATGGACATCAATTTCTTGTTGTTTTGTTCAGTGTATTTATTCTATATATATCATGTGTGTTCAATGCTGACTGAACACTGTGTGTCAGTGAAAATAATGTGTATGTTATTGGTGTCTATTCATTTTTTGGTGTCCGTTATTGTTGAAGAATTTGAATGTGAATTTGAGTGTTGATGTATTGTAATCAAAGCATCTATGTTTTTGTGAGCTGTCCCTCTCCTCTCCTCCTGCCTCCTATGTCGTCACTGTGTCTTCACTGGTTCAGCAGTTGGTTTATGCTCAGATGATCATCCTTTTTCTGTGGTGACTGTGGGTGTCATGTGTGGGTGCTTACTGTGGATCACGTGTTCTATTATGAAATAACGGTTGTCTTACATAAACTGGTTTTGTCTTGAATGTTTCAGGGTTATCTGCTTCAGCTATCACTCTGATTTAAGCAGTTTCAAACTGTTGTCTTATGTCTTGCATCTGTCTTCAGTTGGTCTTCGTCTGTCTGTCTTGCTTCACTCCTTTTTTTAATCCACTACTTTGTATCTTGCCTGTGGACCTGTTACAAAACATTGATGTAGAACATGTCAGCAGTGTGTTTGTCTTAGGAAAGAGCCAAACTGTAATCAGATGCCTGACTTGCTTGTAGCTTGAATCAGTCTTTACTGATTTCTTTTTCTTGTTTTTATTTCTCTCTCCTTCTGTCCTTCTCCTGTCTTTCTCTCGCATCAGATGTTCATCAAGTACATAAAGGTTAGCACTCTTTTCTCTGAGCTTTGGCACAGCATCTTTAATGCATGTGAAAGATATAAAGAAATTTAAACATGCACACAAAATATTTAGTGAAAGCTTGGCACTATTAATATTAATCTTCACGTGTTTGGTAGATTATGGGTATATGGATTGGGTTGTTAATGTGTGGATGTTTTCTATTTAAACCTTTGTCTGTTTTTGCTGCAGGTTGAACTCCTCTCACACTTTGGATCAGAACATTTCTGTCCCCTCAGTCTCATAAGGTAAGATAAAAAATAGCCCAATCCAGTTTCTCTCAATAGGCCTGTCTGCTTGATTTTCTGAATCTAAATTGGAATTAAATAAAACAAAGTGAAAGATCATAAATGCTTGAAGCATTTCCTTTTAAGTATAGAACAAGAGAGAGGCTCTGGACTTGTCATGTCTGGACTAGGGGGTCTGACTGGCTGGGGTTCAGTATCCACACTGTATTAATGAAAATATTAGGATGATGTTTCAGGTGAAGAAAGTGGTTTATCTTTTGTAAGTTTCTCTGCAGAAGAACTCACCCAGGATCATTTTTAAGGTTCTTTATACATGTCTCTGTTCTTTGCCGAAAATACGCATGCGCGCGCACATACACACACACATTCCTCTTCTTACTGTTTGGTAACAAAGACCTGTAACCTTCTCTGTAGGTTGGTTTGTTTTTGTAACATTGTGTGGTTGTGTGTTTTGTGTAGGGTGTTTGGTACCAGCATGGTGGAGGAGTATGAGGAGATAGCAGATTCCCAGTACCCTTCAGAGAGACTGGAGTACTTGGATGAAGACTATGGTGAGTTGGTGACAAGTTGCCCAACTTCCTTTTCAACATTGGTTGCAAATCGACACTCTTTACGTTACACAAACAGAAGAAGAATGAGCACAAACATTGTTAAGCTGCCTCACCTGGCAGAACAACACATTCCTGGACCCTGAGAGGAGTTGTCCTGTAACTTAGTCACCAAACACCTTGGATGAGAGTTAACTATTAACATCAGCTGCCCTTTTAATGCTAACTTATCATTATTGGTACTTCTATTCTGGGCACATAGTTTAATATTTTTATGGCAATGTTCTATGAAAGAATAACTCATCATGTTGAGGCTGATTTCCTTGGATTGTGTTTTATTTTTCTTTGTCTTCAGATTATCCTCCTGGTTACCAACCGTCAGAGGACAAGGCCTCTAAAAACCTGCTTGGCTCAGCGACCAGTATGTACACGCATATGTAGCTACATTTATATGGACTCAATGGTATAAAATATATTATAACAATGCAGCTGGAATCATGAGAATATAAAACCTAATTATACTGAAACTGAGATTCATCTTGGTGATTTAGAACACCTGCAAAAACTTGTCCTATGGGTCTGTATCACAAACTAAAAGATAGAGAAGTAAAATGCAGTCCGGAAATACAATGTCAGTGAAAAGCACAATGGAAAAACAAATGTCAAAGCTTGTGGCTTGATTAAAATATGTCTTGCTTCATTTCCCTTTAGACGCCATCCTAAACATGGTGAACAACATTGCTGCTAACGTGCTGGGCGGCAAGTCGGAGCTGGAGGGTGGAGCAGAAACCAGAGGTAACATTACTTCCTTGTTTTTTGTCTTGCTTCACATTTACATCCATATCATAAATGACCCTATGGCTGTTTTTTCACCTGAATCTTGTCTCTGATGTGAAAGACAAAAGTCTGACATAAACATAAAGACTGTCTGTGCCTTTAGAGTTGTCTGTGTTGGATGCTGCATTTAAAACATTTATCAGCATAATATTCAAATTGAATTTCCTAATTCTGCTTACAGGTGAAATTGACATGTATGCTGGGTGAATTAAACAATTAAACTAAGCCTATAATATCCTCTATCAGTGAATAAACTTTGGCTTGCAAGCTTCTCAAGGGACTGTGGATTTCAGAGATGCACGATAAACATAAACAGGCGTGATTATTATTTCAGTGATGAAACTCACACGGCTTTCTTGTGCTAAGTAAAACCCTGACATGCACTCACTTTTGTTTTCTTTGACTAGCCACACCTCGTCACTGGGCAATATGAGGTACAACTGGTTTATCCTTAGGCTGCAATTCATCATTTCTAGGTCAGGACATCAAACAAAGTAACTTTCAGTACATAATTAATCATGGGTCACACATCCAGTTGGACCCCATTACATTCTCACACCTGCAGAGCATTTGATTGGTTCGGTCCTGGTTTATAGGTTTTGTATATTTCTATACATGTTGTGTTACACATTTTATTTTTGAGCATGAAAACATGGATGGAAACTACAGGACCGCTGTTTTGGAGGACATAGTTCTAAAACTAGTGAAGATGCCTTGAAGATAAACTGTTGCCAATGTCAATCCAGATCTATGAATTATTCTCTGAGAAAATCTGTGAAAATATCATTAAATGCATTGTTAAAGAAAGTGAAAGTAAAGTAAAAGAATCCTGGATCTGCCTCTTTGTCCAGATCCACACCATTTAATGGATTCTTTCTTGGTTCATGTTGGTCCAAACTTCGTGGAAATCTGTTCAGTAGTTTTTGTGTAATCCTGCAGAAGAAAAACAACAACAGTCTTTATCTTGAGAAATTGTACAGAACACTAGTCGGTGGAAACGTGCTTAATAACTTTTTCTTTCACAGATATTGTTAATTCCTCAGTAATCATTCCACACTCATATGGAAGAACTCAACTATTCCTTTCTTCCTGTGCTCTGGTTGTCCTCACTTTACAACTGCTAACCCTCCTCCCCTTGTCTCTAACCACTGGCCCTCACACATATTGTATAGATTAACTGCTTCTAAAACTGGGTCACTGTGCTTTCCTTCTATAAAGGAAGAGCATATGTATGGCCTGAATGTTCATGTGTATAAGTGCTGAGAGAGCCAGATGTTTATTTGGCTGTTGGCAGGAGGTCTGCAGCAGCGTTTCAGCAGAACTTTGGCTTTCTGTGTTTTACTTCTTGGCAGAGAGCTCAGATGAATCGAGACTGTGACGCCAAGCTCCTCAGCCTGTTCACCACACGAGTTACAAAAAAACACACAACTCTCTCACTCAGCTTTTCCCCAGTGGCAACTGGATTTAACCTACTTCTTATATTTTGTTTATACTCGCTGTGCTTCTCTTCAAAATAAGTGTAAGAGTCTTTGTAAAAGCTGAGGACACATTTAAATCATAAACTGTCCTATATGAGGTTTACATCGTGTACAGTTGTTTTCAAAGGAGAAACTCCATAGTGTCTAACTTCCAGCTGCCTCTCTGCAGTAAAAGTTCTCTTCTCTCTTATACCCACCAGAGTAAAGGAGAGGGTGTAGGAGAGAGCACGATTATAACTGGACTAGACTGGTTCACTGTATTTCTCACTTACCCAAACATGAGCCTGCCAGCCACACAGTCTCAGGAATGAGGTCTCTGTTCTTAACTACAGCCACATTGGACCTGGGGAGAGGTTTGCCAATGACAAAATCTGTGGGTCTTAGGCAACTGTGAAGTTTAATCAGTCTTCCCAGTTTGTTAATTGTTGTTTTTTTGTCATAATCCCAGGTAACACAACAACAGAGGAGAATGAAAAGAAGGGGACTACTGAAGTTAAAAGTAAACCAGCTGAAACACTTCACGACCCTGCAGAGTAAGAACAGACATATGAAACACCATGAATGTGAATTTATCTATTGATCATAGAAGGTTGAGTAGAATAGAAATACGCTTGTTGTTCTTTTACATCACTTTTCCTCTACTTTATCTTTTTTTGTTTCCCCATCTTTCTTTCAGACTGCAGCCGGCAGAACCTGAAGACCCTGTAATTCAGGAGGACTCGAACATCTCCAAGGACTCCTCCACACCCTCTCCCTCCTCGTCTGACTCCCCTGAGGACAGACAGATTGTCACTCTTGTAGAGGAGGAGGAGGAGGACGTAGAGCCCAGACAGTCAACTGTCACCCTTATGGAAGAGGAGAGTGAGGAGGAGGAAGAGAAGAGGGAGGAGGAGACGAGGAGGGAGGCAGACAGGAACCAGTGGGAGAGCCAGAAATACTGTCCTTTTGTTTCGCTCTCCTCCCTGTCTCTATCTTGTATGGCCACTCTACCGGAGCTGCTTCACCGCTGGTGCTCCGCCAGACTGGCGAAGGGGAGGCTCCGCAGCCTACGGCGGAGGCAGCTGAGCGCTAAAACACAGACTCAAGCTGCTGCGAACACCCCTGTCCTCAAACACACACCGTCAGTAATCCCTGTCCCTGTCCCCACACCTCCACAAGACGTCCTTCCCCTCACAGAAAAAGCTCCAGAGCCCGAGCTGCCTAAGGGCCAAAATGAGGACAAATCTCTGGGTGAGGTGCACACCACCTACACACATCCCCACACTCACATACCTGATGCACACACTCCAGAGCTCAGCATCCTCCTGGAGCCGAGTAGAACCTCCACCATCCCCCCTCACAGTTTCTCAGACATCCACAGTTCACTGACGCGGCCGACCCCCACGCATGGGGAGAAGCTACTACCTCCCATCAAAGACGCAGCCCTGAACCCTGTCCCTACTCCACCCCTCCATGTTGCCTCTATCCCAGAGACGCAGCAGGCCAGCAGTGCCACCCCCTCCCTCACTGTTAGCTCTCCCTCACAGCCTGTGTCCCCTGAGATGGCCTCTCCTGGTGTTGTGGTTCCTCCTGTCAAGGAGCAGCCCATTCAGCCTCTCCCCACTGCATCGAGGCCTGAAGACCTGATGCCCCCTCCCACTGAACTGCCTACAGCGGCCCCACTCACTGATACTCAGACAGATGCAGTACATTCAGGCACAGAAAGCGGGGACTCACAGAGACGCAATGTCCAGGCATCTCAGACTCACGGGGAGCAGGGGGACTATGTCTCTCAGACCGGAGAACCCTATCGGGTGGATGACACAGTGTACGAGGACCTGTTGAGCACTAATGGGAACAGCAACATCCACCGGACCGCCACAGACTTCTATGCAGAGCTGCAGAACGGGGGAGACTACAATGGCGGGGGGGTGAATGTAAACGGCATGCTGTTGAACGGGGGAGCGGTGCATGGCTCCAGCCAGAAGGAGAGCGTGTTCATGAGGCTAAACAACAGGATCAAAGCTCTGGAGATGAACATGAGCCTGTCAAGCAGATACCTGGAGGAGCTGAGCCAGAGGTAAAACCACTGGACACAATGAGAATTATTTAGTAATAACAACTGCATGTTGCTTTTTTTAAACAAAGCTGCAACTTGTTTAGTTGAACATTTATTTATTTTTAAATCACACTAGGGCTGAAATCAAACAAAGAAAAACTGAAATTGATCTCAGCCCCACTGGAAACTTGTTTCATGCGTGTCTGTCAGTTTGGAGCGGACTCAGAGTAAACGTTCAATAATTGTAAAATAAGTGAACAACATAAGTGAGACTGAGCATTCACGGACCAGGACATATTGACCAAGCACACGACTTAAGACTACAGCCCTAGTTTACCTTTTGGAAATTGCTCACGTATTGTGTTTTTTGGATTTGTCTCGTTTAGATACCGTAAACAGATGGAAGAGATGCAGAGAGCGTTCAATAAAACCATCATCAAACTGCAGAACACCTCCCGCATCGCCGAGGAGCAGGTCAGTTTGTATTAACTCAGTCAGAGCAAGAACAGTTGACCCATGCACAGTGAATCCCTGTCAGTATTTGGAAAGATTGACTTACAGTTCAGTATCTGTTGTCCTGTGTCTCCTCTGTTTGTTTCCAGGACCAGAAGCAGACAGATTCAATCCACCTCCTGCAGAACCAGCTGGAGAATGTCACTAAACTGATGTTAAATCTCACTGCTGCAGTCGGCCAGTTGCAGAGAGAGGTAACTTACACATAAGCCATTTTCAGACATGACCTGTGGAGAATGGGGGTCCGGACTTAATCTGCTGTTTTCTTTTCATTAGCCGTTGTAGAGGTTGATGATAATACTGAGAGAGCGAGAAATCACGAGGCTATGTATATATAGAAAGTACATGATGACATTCACGTACAACAACATTGTGGTTCGTTTGACAAGGAAAGAAATATTGTGACCAAGCAAACATGACTTGAAGCATATTCACATGCAGAATCTGTAAATAGAGACTATGCAGGTAAAGAATGGGAAATTTTTTTATTGTGTTTCCCAAAATCAAATTTCAGTCCATTTGGGTGTTGGAACTAAAATGTACATCTTGCTATTGACTAATTTGGCATTGAAGTCATTCCTTTTCTTAAAAAGAGAGAGGGTCTCAATACCGTATGCATGCTATTATTCACAAAATGCAGATGTATTTGATTTTCTCAGCTTTGATTGAGCCTGTTGACATTTTTCTCTGCAGGTATCTGATCGTCAGAGCTACTTGGTAGTCTCTCTGGTTCTGTGTCTGTCTCTGGGCCTCCTGCTGTGTCTGCAGTGCTGCCGCAGCTCCTCTCCCAGCCCCAGCTCCACTGCTGTTGCGCTGCCCAAGAGCAACCACTACCCCAGCCCTAAAAGGTTTGCCACTCACACACACTCCTTCTGGTGTAAACGGGACATTTTATCTCAGTATTTTTGTTTTTTGTTTCATGAAGTCATTTATAAGGGATTCTACCATTCTCAGATCTGTCACCGAGCTCCAACACCCAGTAGAACTTACTGGATCGCTTCCAGACTTCTCACCTAAAGCAGTCATTCCTGATGATAAAGCTGGTTCTGATGACAAAAATACTTAACTGATGTCAATATCGTTATTTCCTTGTCAGATGCTTTTCCTCTTATGATGACATGAGCCTAAAGCGCAGGGTTACCTGTCCGCTGGTTCGTTCTAAGTCTTTTCATCTGTCCTCTACAGAAGGTAAGAGTCTCCCTCCCCCAAAACACACACACACACTCACTGCAAACAATTCTCTCCTTCAAACTGCCCTCTCTGTCTACTGTGTTTCTCCCTCTGTGTTTGTCATTAGAACATAAGCAGCACTGAGACTGGATATTAGTCGTAGATCATGGCAAAGATTGCATTGTCACTACTGTGGACCCTTTTCAGTGTAACTCCTACCATATAACTGTCCACATCCAAGCACCGCCCACTCTTTCTTCATTCTTTCTTTGTCTTTCCCAGTGTCCCTCTGTCTCTATCCCTCCACTGTCTCCGCTCACTCATGTTGCCATGCTCAGTGGCTGATATCCCTGGTTGTTCCTGCTGCCTCAAACAAAGATAGCTCCTCAGGGAGAGGCTGGTGCAGGCAATAAAAGAATCAAGTCTTTGACTCATGAAACTTAAAACTCCCTCTGCTGTTCATTATCCCTCAAGTGTGTGTGTTTGTGTATGAGAGAAAGGCCCCTGTATTACTCTTGTTGTGGGGACCTAAATCAGTTTACACAGTCACATTATGAGGGCTTGTCTTCCCCATAACTAAATTCATAACATTAGGTTAGGTTAAGGTTAGGGAAGTTTTAAGGTAAGAATAATTCTCTGAAGTCATGGAGACATGACTGTGTGTGTGTGTGTGCATGTGTGAGTGTGCGTTTGCCCTTGAGGCTGTCATTGCCAGCTTGTCTCCACATGCAGGCTTAAGAGTGTGATAAAAGAGCACGATGCTTTGCTGGCTCATTGTAGACGTTTGCAAGTAGTAATTAACAATACGGTAACACTTGATGATTACTGTAATTTAGGCTTAATTCTATATTTTAGTAAAAATGATTTGTGCTATAATTTATTTATTGAAACTACTTGCAAGGTCACGTCACGCTTGTTACATATATGTATTCCTGTTTGCCATTCCATCATTAACCTGGCCCCTCTCTCCCCTCCCCAGTAGGTCCAGATGACTTGTACATTGTAGAACCTCTAAGGTTTTCTCCAGAGAAAAAGGTACAGTGTCTGTTTCCGACTGCTGCTGTTGGCCGTGATGGCCACCTTACTTTTTAAGTGTTGTTTTTCTAGTGTCAGTCCAGTGTGTACAATAAGTGCGTTGAGGAGCGTTCAGCCCCCCTCCACATACCTGATATGTCTGTTAACCACTTATTTGCCGACACTGTGGATGTGTTTGAATAAATCCAGATTAATATCACAGCAAAGCAGATCCGCTGTAAATACTTTGCTTTTAGATGAGAAGTTTTCTTTCTTAGAAATCCTAGAATCTATTATTCCCTTTCAGACTTTCCCACCATTCTCTGACCCGTTTGTGTGACCTCAGTGTCGAGCACATAAGTGATTAACATGTAGTTATATTATTACATGAATCTTGTCTTTCTTTAAAAGTTTTCTTCATCATTTTCTTCCTCTCTGTTTTGTTTTCTTCTGCAGAAAAAGCGTTGCAAGACAAAGTCATCGGACAAGGTTGAGACTCTGAAGGCATCTAATCCCTCTGCTTCCCTCACAAATGGGGGTCCCCTGAGTAACGGCTTCCACCCCTGCCTCCCTGAGCCAACTCCTGCCCTCCTCCCCCCTCCTCCCCCGCTTCCTCTTCTTCCTCCTCCCCCCCCACCAGTTCCTCCCCCTCCCTTCACAAAGGAGGTGTCGTCGTTGCCCCCGTGCGCCTCCAAGGAGTTCCCCTCCGAGACCAGCAGCTGCTGCTCATCCACCCACTCCGAGGAGTCCTACACAAGCTGCCTCACCCCTCCCTCCCCCATCCTCCCCTCTTACCGCCTGTGCAACGGCCACGTCCTAAGCATCCCCCTCCAGCAACCCCCTACCAAGTCCCGCCAGGAGAAGCGCTCTGTGAAGCGGCGGAAGTCGGGGGGCAGCGCCGCCTCTCTGCCCAGCCTGCAGCAGCTCATGAAGGGAAACAAGGAGATCAACGTCGGGACCATTGGAGTGACAGCCGTCACCGGACATGTCTGAAATACACTTCACTTCTACACAACTTTCTATACTCATTCACACACAATCACACACACACACACACACACACACACACACACACACACACACACACACACAAAGGCTATATGGTAGCGGACTTGCAAGGAGATGAGGTCTTACTGCATCCCAAAGAACCACTTTTCCCACGTGCACCCGGGCGCACCGTGGAACTGACATGGCTCTGGCAGCAGTAGCTCGACATCATCCAGTCCTTATCCACTCCTGTCAAAGACCTGTTTACGGTTACGTGCCTTTATATCTGTTCCAGACCTTTTTAATGCTAAAAAAAGCCCTGAAATGTAAAGAATAGGTGGAGTGGGCAGAGAGAGAGAGACACTGTGGTGGGAGTGAAACATTGATACAAGTCAAATCCATTGAAGTGTGTTCAAGATATTTGTTGTTTTTTCTAATGGATAAGCACATTGGCCTCAACTCTATGTTTCTTCACACACCAAGAAGTATCAGGCTGCTCCTTTCCGGCAAAAAGTGTCATTACGAGAGAACTGTAGAGCATGACAAACCTCTTCTTTTATCTTTCTTTCATTCTCTCTTTCATTGCCATCGTTTTTATCTTATCCATTCTGTCTTAGCATTGCATCCTAACATGACTGCAGGTGTTCGTATGGGACCAGTGTTAAACTTCTCAGACCCTCTAAATGTTCGTCTCTGTTAGTCTACTCCGAAACAACCGTCAGAGCTGAATGAAGAAAATGTCTTTGCATGGAGTGTGTTCGTCCTTTCACTTGTGTGTCCCACTAAACCTCAGATTACAAATACAACAGCAGCAGCCTGTAGATCCTAATGAGTTCACAGGGAAATAACTCCATGAAGTGTACCTGCTCAATTAGTTTGGGCTGGGCCCGAAAACATTTGATCACACAGCAAATTAAGAGGTGTTGTGCTTTTTATCAGTGGACATTGTGTCTGTGAGGATGCTTGATTGTACAGTGAGACTCGACAGGCCAGAGCAAAGCTGAACTTTATTCTTTTTCTTTCATATTCCAAAAACTGAGCCATATTCCTCATGTTACAGATGTGCTTTGTTTGAATTATTGTCACAACTAGTATGTAAAGTTTTCCTACAGTGTACTGACTGAGGACACTGGGTAGCTGAATGTTTACTCTATTGACTCACTTTCTCTCTCGCTCTCTCTCTCTCTCACACACACACACACTCTCACAGACTACTGGGACCCTGTAGTCAAGACTGACAGACCAGTTTTATTTATCTATTTATTTATTTAAATGACTACAGATTTCTTTAAAGTAGGCACTGGTCTGACAGTTTCCCTTCACTGCAGTGTCACAGTAGTTTATCACGTGAGTATATTATAAAGAAAATATAATGGTGAATATACTCAGCGGTACTGACGCACAGTCATGGTGAATGGCTCAACCACGAGGATCTTCTGTCTTTTTAATTTATTGTTTTACATTTTACCTTAGGCTCTGATGTTGGAACAGCCCCGAGCTCTGTTTGCCTGAAATGTCAGACGTATATCAGCAGTCACATGTACCTACAGCACCCTATGTACCCAACAAGATAATAGAGTATTGATTTACATGTTCGTCAAGATAGTCACGCTGCTGCTCTTGTATTAGTTCAGAGCTGCTGGGTAGTTGGAAGGAGTGGAAAGAGTGTGTGTGTCTTCTACGTGCTTGTTACTGTGTCTTCGTTAGGATCATCTAACTGATTTTAACTCGCCCACAACAACATTGAGTTTAATATTTAAACACAATGAGGGGTGATCAGATGTTGAAAAAAGAGATTAACTATTGTTTGTTTTTAAATAATAAAATCTAACCAATTCTTTTCTGTATGTATGCAGTTTCTGATTGGCTCTGTGTGGTTGGACTTGTGTAAGCTTTGACAGAGACGGAGAACTCTTCTAACTTTACTCTCATGACACCTCCTGACCAGCTTCTCTTTACATATCTTCATCTGCCGTGGTCCCCTCTACTTTGCACGACATTCTCTGTGACTGTGAAGAATATTTTTTTTAAATGCTTGCTTTTATCAGCCACTCTAAAGTGTTCCCATTAGGGACTTGAAATGCTTTATCTCTCTGAAACACCTGCTTCTCTCACTCGCTCATGTCTTTGCAGCCTCGCTCTCATCACCACCCGACCCGACCAGTCTTTTAGTCACCCCACCCCCCCATGAATGATAACGTGCTCTGCAAAGAGAAGGATAATGTAAAGGGAACACAGTAAATGATTTGGAACACTATTAATTTGATTCTGTATGTTCCACAAGCCGAGCTAAACATGAGATGTGTGTTTTTTTTTAACCCTCTTTGAATGTGTATGGTCTTATGTTTGTGTGTGTAAACCTGTGTGCATGTGAGAACCTTGTTTTGGTGTTGATCTCATGTATGTGTGAGCGTCTGTGTTATGAGAAAGACTACTTTAATGAATCTACCTAAACCCATAACACAGCGACTTGGAAGAAAGCCCACGGTGAGGAATTCTTGGAGCTCAGTGTGCACTTTGTATGACTCCTCATGCCTTTTTTTTTTTTTTTTTTTCTACCTGACATGTAAAAGTGCTATCTTTTGTTTTTTCTCTCTCTCTTTCTCTCTTTCTCTTTCTCTCTGTGATTACTCTGAAGAGCTGCACAGTATTTTTGAGCAGGAGTGAGTTACTGCAAAAAAAATGTAGTGCCATTAGAAACTGTGAATTTCTAAATAAAAACTTTTGTCGTCTTTCACTTGGCCTTTGACTTTTATTGTGTAAAAGTGTCTTTGACATTTAAACATTAGTCCAGCGAGAAAAAAAGTTCAATAGGAAACTGACACAAAGTTTAATTTATTTATTTTATTCTTTATTTGAAAAGGGACAATGCACATTAGTCCAGCAAAAAAAAGTTAAATGCATTGACTTAAGTAGAAACCTATACCAACCAAGTTTTATTTATTCATTTATTTTATTATTTTTTTGAAATGGGATAATGTGCAGTAGTCAACATTAGTAAATGCACATGAGTTTGCTGAACTGCAAATTCTAATTTGCAGTCTCTTTCAGATGTTGATAGACATCCAGCAGTGATCAAAAGCATACAGTCATCTGCAGCTAAGGAAAGTCCTGGTACAATTATCAGTGATGATATTGTTGGTTCTTAACTCTACATTTAAATAAACAATACAATGAGGACTACAACAGATTGTGGACAAGATGCCTGCGGTTTTCCGGTGTGGGATTGTCCAGCGCCCCCTGGCGGCACATCTAGTAGCTCCCTTCTAACCCACTACCTTGCACAAGGACACTTCAGAGTGCGGACTGGAGGAGCTGGGGACTGAACCAGCAACCCTCGGTTAACTGCAGTTAATCATCCATGGAGCAACACAACAAAACAAATGACAGAATTCTAATCATAAAATGGTCAGTACTTCGTGGTAAAGGTACATTCTGAGGTACTTTTCTCAGTGCCTGTGTACATCAAAGGGATTAAATAAATGCAAACCACTCAAGAAAGCTTTCTAGGAGACATAAGGTCTGAGGTGCTCCACCTTTATGGATAATGACCATTCATGTTTTCTTGCTCCTCATCTTTTTTATTGTCGATTATAAAATGTATTTTAAAAAACTGTCAAAGAACAGAAACATGAGTACAATGTATACAGCCAACCGCCAGGGGTCGCTGCGGGTAAAACTGAGCACAGCTTCCAGTCGGTGGTTTCTCTCTGTCTGTCTCTCTGCTCTCCTTTGTTTACGTTTATGCAGCAACATGGAGGACGAGGTGGATGTTGACATCGAGGGAGACGAGACAGAGATCAGACTGAAGTAAGACTGTGAGCTGTGAATAAACCTGTTTACTGCTGGTTAACTCTGATCTGTTAGTGAGACATGTTTACTGCTGGTTAAC